TTTGTGGGCTTGCAGATATTTTACCCAAATGTGAAATATTTTTTCCTCAAATAGATCGTATCTTTTCAAAATTTGTTTTGGAATTAAAAGGATAAATATAAAAAAGTTTCTTTAATCAAAACAATAATTTTGGAAACTACTTAATTACTTGATTCTCATTAATGCTTCATTAGGTCAAAAATTTACAATTGTTCAAAATGTGAAATCCCTATAAATAATGTGTTAACCTACTAGGTTAAATACAATTAAAAAACAACTCATAAACCAATTCAAATGAATTTTTTCTCTAGTTTTGGTGATAGGCGAAGACAATGAATAGTTCGTGATCTCGGCAAGTGTGATATTATGCGCTGATCATCTCATTGTTGTATCCTAGGATACAGACGACCAATGATCTCGAGCACCAAAGAGTGACCGTAAATCTATCTTAAGGAAACTGCGTAGTTGCAGGCCTTAACCCATTTTCAATCAATTATTTCAAAAAAAATTGTGTATTTATTTCTATACCATTTTTTTTTTATTTAATATAATACTTTTTTCATGTTACGATGAGATCCTGCGATAGAATTAAATGTTCTTTGCCGCGACTTTTGTGAATCACCATGGAAACACATTGTGAATCTATTAAATATTTGATTTTATGTTTTCTTTTTATCACAGATTGTTATACTTCTAACAAAAAGAAAATAATTTTTTTTTAAATATTTTAACGTACAAAAATAATTAATTTAATTAATATAAACTCTAATTTATATTTTAATTGTAAAAAAAAACTCTAACATAATGTATTAAGTAAAAATAAAAAAATAAAGATTACATAAGAAAAAGGTAAAAGAACTCATTTTAACTTTTATCTCACATTGTTAGCAAATATAGCCTAAGCACTCCACCATGCCTATATAAAGTCTATATAAACTAACACCTTTACACACTTTAACTTATGGAACTAATATGTATTAAATTTCATTGTTAGTCCCTATAGTTTTATTTTTTAATTTTTTTTAAAGTATATTTTATTAAATATGCTTTATTAAAATTCGAGAAAAGCTCGCCCCTTGGGATGCGTTTCCTAACTGCTCTACCACGTCAGGTAAGGCACTTCCCCTAGGACACGCCTTTTTTCCAGGTGTACAAAGATTGTTTATCCAAACACACCTTTTTACCCCAATTTCAGAAAGGGTGCTACTTTGGTATCATATTGAAGAAAAGGTGTTAGAATGATGTTTTATTTTTTATTTTTTTAGGTGATATTTAGATAAAATTGTCCCATTTCAATTGTAAATGATGAAGTTGACACACATATACATATACATAGACATATATACATAGACATATATACATAGACATATATATATATATATATATATATATATATATATATATATATTAAGTTTAGGTAATTACAAAGTACTATTTGTTTTAAATATTTCTAACTATTTAACAATGAACACTCAATCACCTCTATTGCAGTTGTTGATGCTCAAATTCAAAATCTCTAGACATAACGATCATTCCTTTAATAACTAAGATATTTTTTTCAAAAATCATTGTTAGATGTTAAATTGGATTTTCGATCCACCCAACTCTCATGTCTCAAATCTGACCCTAATACATATTGAATACCACAAATGGTTTTTTGGCCCAATACTGAGGGCCCAAAAATTATTTGGCCCAATAGGACACTTCAGATTTTATTTTGCAATCTACGAAAAATATTAAAGTATAGGGGAACTCGTCACCTCGAGGTAACGAGTTCGGTTGAATATATTATTTTAATGATCCTAATTAAGTGGGCCCCATTTAGACCTTTATTTTAATATTTAACAGGACTCCTCACCTCGAGGTGACGAGTCCCTTAAGAAATTATTTTTTTAATTATTTTAAAATTAATAAAATAATTTTTAAAAAAAGAAAAAAACGATGAAACTCGTCCCATTGACATGACGAGTTCCCCTGAATTTTAAAAAAAACTAGTCGTTTAGAGCCATTGGGCAACTACAACGGTCAACATGGAACTCGTCATCTCAAGGTGACGAGTTCACTTGGAGTTTTGAATAAGATGATCATTTATAGCCATTGTGATTGTGGTTATAAATGAGGTTTGGGGTTTAGGAATTTTACTATCTATTGTTACGAAAAATCGTAGTTTTTGAAGAATTCCTAAAAAGTCTACTCGAGAAGAAATATTAAGCTTTGATGACGTCCATATTTCTTCGTTCGAACTCTATCCCGAAGAAGAACGAAGCATTAGTCAACGAGGAATAACATTGAAAGATCTACATCAGCGGATGATTATATATCTACAACAATTTGGCTTGTATCCATCCACATTTCTACGTGATTTTAAGGTGAACCCGACATTGATTTCGACTCTGATTGAATGTTGGAGGCCCTAGATGCATACTTTTCATTTTATGAGTTGTGAAGCGACGATACATTGGAATATGTCACTTACCAATTGGGTGTTCCGGTTAATGGTACGACCGTCGTGAGTCGAAACTATAATGCCCTGAATCTCGAGTTAGTAGTTTGGGTTAACCCGAGATTCTTAAAACAAGCCCAATGGACTTATAGGATAGTTTGGACCAAGTTAAGCCGGGAGTTGGAGGAGTAAAAGAGAAATTACACCCTCTTTCAAACCAAAGGTTGATTTCTTTTATGAATGATGATGTATTTTCCCTCACCCACCCCTTAATTTGCCTCATTTCTCATCATTTCGTTGTCCTCTCTCTATTCCCTTCTTCTTTAAGAAAATCATTAAAGCTCTTTAAAGAAATTATAAGGTAAGATCATAACCTCTTTACCCAAGCTTTCATTTAAGCTCTCAATCTCTAAGTTTGGTCACCATAGCTATAAGTGGGGGTTTAAGAATCTAGGGACTTCTAGCTCATTTTTTTGGGGTAGGATGAAATTAGGAAAGTGTTCTTAAACTTATTTTAGTTTCATAAACAAGATTGTAGCTCATTTTTCATGTTGTGTTAGTTAGAGAAATGGGAGAAAGTTCCAACACCAAAGCAAAGGAAAAGTTAACTCTTGGGTAATTGGAACATTTTTCAACAACCAAGACTCCAAGGTAACATATTTCTAACCCTCCTATACCATTTGTAGGCCTCCTAGTGAATTTGCTTAGCTTTCATTAGATTTGAAGCATATGAGCATGTTCATGGAAAATCTTAGATTTATGTGTTTTCAAGCTTGTAAATTGACTCTTCATGACCCTAATAAACTCTCATAAGCTTTTAATAACGTTTAGGAACCTTGGTAGGGTTGTCGGGGTGATTAGAAAGTGAATTTTGAACTAAAATAGGGCATTTATGGGTTTGGGTATCAGTACTGGAATAACAATACCGATATTGTTCTTACGTAAGGCTAAAAATAAACGATTTTGAGGTAGCAGTATCGGTACTCATTCGTTGAGTATAGGTACCAAGGGCCTAATTGCAATACTCGCATAAGGGGTTTTGAGACTAAAATTCCAATGTCTATTTTTGGTATCAGTACTCATGGAAGTATCAATACCAAGGGTATAATATCGATACTCTCTATAGGAGTATCGATATCGAGGTATTTTTCAAAACATCGAAACCCAATTTTGTATTGATACGCCAGTTGGTATCGGTACTCTAGCTGGGGAGTATCGATACTTACTTATAAGCATCAGTACTATCCCTTTATCCTAACCTTCAATTTCATGTATGGTACCAATACCCCGAGTAAAAGTATCAGTACCCATGGGTCAGTACCGATATGAAGAGGCTCAGTATCGGTACCATCGCACATTTTGGGATAAGAAAACAAGGGGAATTAAAGACATAGTTGAGGGACCCAAGAACACCCTAATTACCTCAAATAAAATATCAGGGGAAAACTATAGTAATAAGTGAAATTTACACCTAGAAACCCTATAACTTTGGGAATCATATGACTAGCCTTGTATGATGCTTGGGAAATGAATCGAACACCCGAGTTGCTCTAGTTACAGGATAAACATTTGTATGTTAGAATGTTCGGACAAAACTAATCTAGTGCACAAGGCACTTATCTACTGACCGAGTGTAAATGCCCCAAGTACTCACAAAGAGTTTACTGGTTGGGTGAATGTTACGATATAGAAATTCCAAACCTCACCCTAGATAGGCTAGAGGAGTGTGCATCTATGAGATGTAGTGAAACCCTCTGACCACACCACAATGCCTACCTATGTGTGTATATTTAGCTTAGCATACTTGTATGCTAACAATTATGTTAACTAACATGTGCATATAGAGGATGCATATAGTATAGTTTGGCTATTAGTGTGGCACTGAACTTGTGAGCTCAATGTTCGAAATTTGTTTATATGCACAGGTCCATAGAAGGAGCGTTGTAGAGCCATCGCAATTACTGCATTCCAGACCAACACCAGCTTCTTGAGTACGTCTTACATATTCGAGTCATAACTATATTGTGGGACTTTTGTAAACTTGATTTGAAATTATTTTAAAGACTCGTATTTTGTAAATCAATTATTATGTGTTTATTTTGTTATTAACGTTATGGATGAATTCTTAAATGGATGTTTATGACAGTTTTAAAAGAAATTTTTTTGGGTTAGCCACTCTAATAGTTTCGTGTGATGCCTTCGTTCGTCGATCTTCAGGTCGTACTTGTAACCCATATTACTTGACCTAGACGAAACAAACCAGATCCAGGAAACTCATTAACTAAACTTCCCAAAACATTTCTCAAACATTATTTTAAATACTTTAAAATTTACTCTCGTATTTTCTGATTTCAAATACTGAAAGTAACTTAATTAAATTAACAATAATTAAACATAGATCAAATGTTTATAAAAATCAAATTTAAGTCTCGAAGTCCAAAACAAAGTTTATATCCAATGTCCCCAAAATATTTAACCATAATAAATATTATCCAAAAAATTAATAAAATAATAATCAAAAAGTTCGAATTAATGTCATACTATAAGAATACGAAAACGAAATAATATTGAACTCCAAGTACCAATTCACCTAGCTCGGTAATCTAAAAGAAGAAACTAAGGGGGAGTAAGTGACAAGACTTAATGTATCTCTAAAGTACAACAAGCATAAGTCGCAGCATAATCCGAAACAAACAGTAACATTTATATGCCAAATCATCAATTTTAATCACAATGTAAATGATATGCAAATGTTCATGCACACGCCCCTAGTCCTGTCACACCCCGAAGAGTGGGTTCCCAAAACCACACTAATTCCAACCCACACACCATATAAGTGAGGTCCTCCACAAAGACAGAGGAAACTGAATCCGAAAAAGTGACATCCACCTTGTCGAGTGAACGTACTGAACTTCCCCTATCAAAATTTGTCTCAACATGAAATGAAAATGACACGCATATTGATATTCGATCCGATCTCAATAACACATCTGAATAACACATACTCGAATATTATATATCCGAATTCCTATCTGATCCAAATAAGATACAATTACATGATCACAGAATCCAAACTCATAGCATAATCCAAATTCGATAAATATCACATGTCACATAACATAATTTTTTGAATTTCAACTGATACAACAATATCACATAACCATCATGCTCGAAACCAATTTCCAAACAACATGCTTAACCGAAATATTTAAAGCAATATTACACATAATAGTCAAGCTCATAACCAATTCCAAACAATCAATCAATCAATATGAAATAGATATAGCACTGGGTAGAGAGACACCTTGGTAATAGCTAAGGACGATGGTGACGTTTTCCCACGATCAATTAAAATAATAGGTCTAACCGAATCAACTCTTTCATCAAAAATAATAATAATTTATAATTCTAAAATTAACATCGAACTAAACGAAACTAAGGTGATAACAATCACTCACGGTCTAAACGAGTCGGTTCAAAATTCCCGGGTAATGGCAAAGGAGGCGGTAACTCGGTTTCTAGATAAGAATTTCCTGCAAAATTACGACGTCCGAATCAAACACCAATAAACCAATTTTTGAATTAATGAAATAATTATCGACGACTAAACATAATAACTCCATATCCATTTTGGGGAACTGACAACAGGTTTGGTTCGAATATAACGGACTGGCAGTAACGAAATTACATCAACACAATCCCAAGCCCGACAACAGTGCACAATCGACCTCTCCTAACCCTAATCGACTAGCAAGAACCTAAAAGTTAACTGGCAGTAGGTTATTGTACAAATTAGAAAAAAGGGCAGAAGGGTTTTCACGACTAACCAAGGCCATTCATCCACGACTTAGGCCAACTAGGCCTTCCCCAAACGAACGCCGGTCACACAACGACCATAGATGGTCGAACCAGACCACGATGGTGGCGGAAACAAAACAAGCCGCGGGGTTTCGTATACCCACTGCCCAAGGATGACGGCAGTGGTCGGGTGGTGCAAGGGGAACTAGCTCAATGGTCGACGACCTTACTAGACCAACGATCGAAGATGAAGCGTTGGCGGTGAGCGACAACACAGGGTTAAAAGATGAAGGGAGCGCCGCTAGGCTCTAGGGTTTAAAATAAGAGATAAGGTGAACATGGCAAAAGATATAATCGGGTAAGGGATGGATTTGTTTTAAAACAAATAGTAAATTATAAACTAAGTCCTTATACACTTTAGGGTTTTTGAAACAGTCTCCAACCTTTTCCTTACATACGATTTGGTCACTACTCACAAATTAGAAATTTAGGTTAAAATTTCCCAAATTCCAGGTTTTTAAATTGAGGAAAAATTGGGGTGTTACAGTACTGGATTAGGAGGTTACATGAATAATTATAATTGATTCGCTATTGTTTACGATGTTTTGGGAAGGATGCAACCACCTGATGTCTTATACGGGAATCAGATATGTATCACTTGGTTGGGGTATGAATTTCAAGTGGCGAATGACTCTACCGAGGAGGAGGTTATATTTTCAGCCCGAGCATATCTTTTCCAACTGATTAGAGGTATATTATTACTGAATAAATCCGATAATTTGATGCACACTCAGTATCTGTCTATATTGAAAAATTTTACCTAGTGTCGTAATTTTAGTTGGGGCTTAACGATTTTGGCCTTTTTATATCAAGAGTGGTTTGTCTATTTTTGATACAATCTTGGGCTTGGTATCAGTTCCCTTTTTTATGCCAATTACACTAGCCCCAAGTTGAGTTTCCTCTAGCTTAGCCATTTTGGCCTTATCAAGGTAATTTTATAGTTTTTAGATGGTGGCATAAAATAACAGAGACTAAGATATCAGGTACAACTAAAAGTGTAATATACAAATCCAATCTGACCTAAGCCTAGTGGGTTTGGATGTTACACAGGACCACTGGAGTGACTAACCCAAAATATATTTCTTGAAAACATATCAATTTCATAATGTATATCATCCAATGAGATTAAGTAAGAATAAAATATTTAAGTTTACAAAACAGGGGAGCTCTCAAAATAAATCTCCAATACAAATAACCATCAAGTGTTATGACTTGATTTATACAAGGGTTTATGAAATACATGCCCACTAAGAAAACCAAGACATACTCGACAATCCGTTGATATCCGAAAATCCCACTATCTGGCAATAAGCTCCCTATTCGGCACCTACTAACCTGCGAACAGAAATAATTTTGAAAGCAAAGCTACGAGCTCAGTGCCACATAAACGACTCCATTATACTACATGCATCCATTAGCTATGAATGCTTAACAAGTCAAGTCATGTTGTAACGAAATGCATCAAACATAAAGTATGGTACACTATCTTGCATCAACACATCGTATGAATACATATTATGCCCTTTCCATTTTACCACGGAAGTGCCTTAGAACTAATACTAAAACCTCATCACTGATACGGAAGTGCATATGCACTAATACTAAAATGCCTTAGCACCGAGGGAGAAAATCATGATATCTATATTCTTAATAACAAATTGCATATGCATATGCTCAAGTAACTCGGGTGTCCTAATCGTTTCTCGAGTAGCAAACAAAGGCTAGTCTTATGACACGTTAATAATCATTCTCGTTTTCAATAATTTCGAATGATGTTCTCACTTGTAGTCTTATTAGAGAAGTCTTAATGCCCTCAAAACCCCCTTTCCAAGCTCACAAAATTAGTTGGGTTTTCTACCCAAACTAGGATGATGGTATCGATATTGGCCCTGATAACATTGATACTGGCCTTGTGGTATTGATACTGGCCTTGTGGTATTGATACTACCCTGAGTATCGATGCCAAAATCAGCTTCAATGTTGTGGAAAATTACCCAAAAGAGTATTGATGCTCTTCCTTGGGATATCAATACTACCCCGAGTATCGATACCAAAAATGACTTTGATGTTTCAAAATTATTCCTAGTATCGATACCCTTAATGAGAGTATTGAAACTCTACCCCAAATATCGACACTCCCATGAGTATTGAATACCAAAAATCACTACTGAAATTTGCAAAGCATCCATGGTATCAATACTACTTCCCAATGAATGACTATTCTTACTACCATAAAATCTCTTTTCCTTAAGGCTATACAAAGAGCAGTATCAATATTGTTCCTCGAGTACCGATAACCCTGTCCAGAAATACCTTATTTAGTCATGAAAATGGTTTCCAAGAACCCCTCACAAGCCTCTTTAAGGGTTCCAAACTTTTGATAAGTTTTATGGGAGTTTGTAGCATCAACATAAGTGATTTTAACAAGTAGAAACATGAAAACACATATCTCCATCAAAACCCACAAAGAAGAAGATGATGAAGATATATGAAAGGAAGAATATGACAAATGGTGAGGAAAATGAAAATAAGAGTTTTCAGCTTCCTCCCTGGTTGAAATCAACAACATTTAGTGAAAAAGTAGCCTTTCAAAACTCTATGGGTTAATTACTACCTTAGTCTTTTCTTTTTTGGCTCCCATTTAAAACCCTTTTTTCTCACCTTATGGGCTTCACTACAAGCCCAACTCTTTTATGCTTGTCACAAATATTTAAATTAAGCTTACCTAAGCACTCCAAGTCCAACATTATACTAGAAACTACTAAACCAATTTTTAGGGTGTTACAACTCTCCCCTCATAAAAAGAATTTTGTCCTCGAAATTTACCTGGTCTGAATAAGTACGGGTACTATAGTTTCATAGCTTCTTCAGTTTCCCAAGTTGCTTCCTTAATGTCATGACTCCTCCATAGAACCTTAACTAGTGGAATCTTCTTGTTTAACAGTTCCTTAACCTTTCAGGCCAGAATCTCCACCGACTCCTCAACGTAGGACATATTTGGGCTCACTTCAATTTTTTCTAGCGGAATCATATGGAACAGGTTCAAATGTTATCTCCAAAGCATGGATATATAGAACACGTTATAGATGCGCTCCATCTCATGCGGCAAAGCTAGTTGGTATGCCACGAGACCAACTCTCCCTAGTATCTCATAAGGTCTGATGAAGTGTGGAGTTAATTTTCCCTTTTGGCCAAATCAAAGATCTATACTCTAAGTTGATACTTTAAGAAACACCTTGTCACCTACAACGAACATGATATCCTTCTGCTTTAGATTAACGTAAGATCTCTGTCTATCGAAAGCTTCCTTTAGTCGACCATGAATCAAGAGTACCTATGCCTCTCAAATAAACTCTAAACCAACCTGTTTCCTCTTGCTAGATTGATTCCAACACAAATGAGTCATACACTTTCACTTCTACAACACTTCATAAGGCACCATCTGAACACTAATTGGTAGTTGTTGTACATAAACTCGACCAACAGAAGGTGTTCATCTCAACTACTTGCGAAGTCAATGACGCAGCATCGTAACATATCCTCAAGAATCTGAATCACCTTATTTGACTATCCATCCGTCTATGGGTGAAAGACAATGCTAAAATTTAATCGAGTACCCAAAGCTTCATGCAACACCCTCTAAAATCTAGAAGTGAATGGTATATTTTTATCATAAATGATGGACGTGGGAACTCCATGAAGTCTTACAATCTATTTGATGTAGTCCTACACTAAAATTTCCAAAGTAAAATCCATTCGTACGGGTAGGAAATGGGTTGATTTGGTTAATCGTTCTACCACTACCCAAATGACATCATGCTTTTGAAATGTCCTTGGTAACCAATAAAGAAGTCCATTATCACAATATCTCATTTCCACTATGTATTTGAATTGGCTGAAGCAAACCAGAGGGAACTTAATGTTTCGCATTCACTTATTCTCAAGCTAAGCACTTGGATACGAACTCAGAGACCTCTCTATCTGTGCCTGGCCACCAATATAGTGTCAAAGTTCTCGGTACATCTTATTGCTTTTGGGGTGCACAAATAATGGGCTACAGTGAGCTTCACCAATTATCTTTTCCCTCAACTCCACATTAACTGGAACACAAAGTCGGTTCCAAGAATACAATACGCTACTATCTCTCAACTCGAATTTTTGGTAACTCACCTCGACCGATGATAACTCCCTAAAAAGGCTACTTTCAAGGACTTTTTCACTTAAGTTATTGTTTGTTTAAGGGCTCATTTAGGTCATTTTAGACACATGTAGATGAATATCTTTGCATTTGTGGTGGTTGTGTTATTTTATGTTGTTAAGGTGTTGTATGAGGAGGAATGTGTAGTTTTTAGTGATGTGCAGGAAAACAACAAGAAAAAGGGAGAGATGGGAAGGAAATTCATGGCATCACACGTTGCTAAAGTAGATAGAAATGCCTTGGAATTTCTAGCGCAGAAAAGGACAAAAAGATATTGTTATAAAATGACAGTTGGCTAGGCACATGTCTGATGGTTATAACCGTTTATTGGGGACCACTACCACCTGTGAGGATAGACATCACACCCAAGAAAATGAATCTATGGGTATGATTAGTATTTTCGAGTGCTTAATCCCATGAATACCCTTAGATATTTTTATTATTTAATACACCAAACATGAGAGAAGAAAGAGGGGTTACACACTCGCATTCGACAGCTTGAATTTCTTCATCTTCTCCACCATTTTCTTCCCTCCATCTTCTTGGTTGTGTTCCTCCATTGGTGAAGCTCAAGGGAGTGGTGAGCTAGGCATCTGAGAGGAGCTAGCGAGCTAAGGTGGTTTATGGTGGCCGAGGGAAGCTCCGACAACACAAGTCGAAGGCTTTTTCCTCCATCCTTTTGTTGTTTTCTTTCATTTATTTTAGTTATGTTGTTTGGAACGAATGTTTTTCATGTTTTATTTAATGGAATATTTGATCCCCACCATGAACTAACCTTATTTGGTGGGATTGATTTTATGGATGCTTGATTTTGTTTTAATGGTAGATTAAAGTTTATCTTTTGCATTTACTGGTTTTGCTTATGAAGGCTTCATCTTCTAAGTTTGTAGGAGGCATGACAGTGTTCATTACCTAGATGAAGGCTAGGTGTTCAAGAGAAACTCGGTTATTAATACTTGGAGTATTCGAGAGAAATACAAGTAAAATCCACATAAGTAATATGGTGTAGAAGTTTACTTAAGCTTAAACCTGACATAGTAGTACTATATCCTAATCCCTTAGTGCTTGAGAGAGA